TGCCTTCCAGTTACCAGCTCTCTCTCTCTCTCCCCATCTCTTCCCCTCCACCCCTCGTGTTCGATAACTTTGGATTTCATTAGACTGGTTAATAAAGCTCATTATCCTGACTCTGCGTTAATCGGCTGGAAAGTGGATTGTACGGGATCGGCGTAGCTGCTTTAATTGGCGATTAATTGTTCCAACCAACATGCATGCACCTACGCGTCCAACTTCCCACACAACCGGAGAAGCTGTGTTTTCTGCCGCAACGACGAGAAAACGGGGCGAGAGCGACGCGAAGGAGAACAAACTGTGGAAGTCGCGGGCGCTCGAGTTGGAGGAGTTGACCAATCGCGAGATGTCGCGTCTTCGTCGAACCAAGTGCAAGCAAAGGAGGGGAAGTAAGAAAACGAAAGGGAAAAGGAGGGAGAATCTGTTTGGTCGAAATCGTAATCCCATCGGCCGGTGGTCCTTTGTGGCGGTCTTCGGAATTAAACTTCCGGTCCTACGGAATCTGGAGAATCCTTTGACGGTCGTCGGGTCGACGGTAACTCGATCAGCAATCACCTCGATCCTTCCGCTCGTTTTCCTTTTCTACGCGATCGCGTGCGTTCGTCGTTACGAATGGTTAATTTCGCAGCAAACGGTCTGTCTGTTTCGTTCTTCGCGTACCACGAATGATTTTAACGGCTTACAAGCGAACATTGTAGAATTTGCAGGATGTGCCGCTGAAAGAACGTATCGAAATCCAGCAAGCGCGTAAAAGCTGACACAACGATAACAGGTCGAAAAGCCGGCGTTAATTCAACGTCCTGGAAGTATTACGAAAATTGGCGTTTATAAATGATGCTCGAGGTATTTATTAATTTGCGTGTATTCGGCCGCATGCGGGCTTATGCGCTGTCGCGTGGCGTCGCGTCGGTGCAGTTTCATGGTTATTTCACTGAGCTGCGCGCGGGGGCTGCGTGATGGCTGCACTTTTCTCAGTGGCACACGAGTCGAGCAGCGAGACGCACGTACACGCCGCGTGAAATCCTTGCCTGGGAGTCGAGGAAGGGTGGGCAAAGGTACGAGAGAGGGTGTAGCTAGGCGGAGAACCAGCCATTCATTTGCATTTCACCGGTCTCGTTGGCCTCGAGCTCCATTTCCCATTTCCGGCCACGTCGAGCGTCGAAATGAAACGTTCATTCAAAGCCTCCGGCCTCTTTTTCCCTCTTCTCTCTCTCTCTCTCTCTCTCTTCGTTATCGAGCTTCCTTCGTTCGACCTTCGACTCGGTTCTATAACTTTTAAACTAGATTGGAGCTGCGACTATTTGCAAGGATAAATACCGCGAGAACCGGAAGCTTTACACGGACGGATGAACGCGAAGACCTTTTGCTCTCTCGGTGAAACCTCGTGGAAAAGAGTGGCAGGAGCAGAGGCGGGGATCGAGTAAACAGAATTATCGGAAATGCGGCGGTGCGCGCGCGCCACGAATAAATTTAGATTTAGCCGATTCCTCGATCGGCAAATCCAGGATTCTCTCACCCTCCCCCCTGGAAACCTCGATTCGAACCGTGTTCCTGTCGCGGTTCGCGTGCATGTCGCGTCGCGAATAATCTTCCCGGCGCGGCCTTCCAACCCACGAGCTCTAACAACCGAAACAATATTTTCACAAGCAGCCTCTCCAACCGTTCCTCCGGTTTGCTTTCTCTGTGAACGCGGGCAGGGAAGTGAACAAGGTTCTCCCGAACATTTGCATATCCCTGTTTACGACCACGTAGATCCTTCTAGCTTTTCCCTTCGACGAATTTCCGAGGTATACACACCTGTTCGTCGATGACACCTCTTTGCATCCTGGAACAATCGTTGGGGAGGGGACTGTGGAAAGGTGGTTAGAAAAAGAGCGTCCTATTAGGTGGTCGGAGAGGGAATCGTCGGAGCGTAGAATAATTGGGCATTAAAAGATGGTGGAACGCGTGTGTACGCCTTCGGACGCGGAGAGGCCAGCCTAGGGCGGTTGGTACCGGGCTGGTACCGTCCAGAGGGACATCGATTTCCTGGCGAGCAATTCGATGCTCGTACACGGGCCAGCACACACACACGGACGTAGGCGTGCGACGAGTAGTGCATGTACGCGCGCACCTTGGCGTGCATTATTAGGTGACCGGCGTGTATTGGAAGCATCGTGTGCGTTCACACGTACGAGAGTAGCACGGGCAACGACTAATATCGGCTGCCGGATGGATTTATCTAAAATTAGAGCTGCCGTCCGATCAGCCGACCCGTCGGGTTACCGATGTCTCGTTGCCCGCTCGTTCTCCTCGCGTTCAACCTATAGACTCGGTGTAAATTTAGAGCCGACCTGACATCGCCGGTCCGACATCACGCCGCTATCTTTAGACGAAGGTAAAGGACCCTCCGCGATCTCCCGGGTCGCTTTTCTTCGATCCTGATGGCGAGCGAGCGAGCGTACCGGGTTCGCGACTTTTGCTATTGATTTTCGAGAAGCTGCGAGCAGTCAACCGGAGATGCTCTTTGGATAAGTTACGACGAAGCCTGTTTGCGGCTACTTTGTGAATGTACGATCCGTTCAGCTGAAGGGGTGTGCTTTGATTAGTTCATTCGAGGCTCTCTTCTGCGGTTCTACAATTCCGAGTAGACTTGCGAAACTTGCCAGTTTTCCAGACCCTCCAATTCGAGCTTTCGAGATCTCGTTAAAAATCTTACTTGAGATTAGCGAATAGGTTTGTCCAATTTAACGCGAATATTTTTTCGGAGAGTAGAGGAATATCGTCTTTGATAAAGACAGGAGTGGCAGAGGCGAGCGAGGGTCAGGAACAATGAAACTGAAGCGCGACCGGACTGGGTCTTCCGGTGTCACGTTTGCAGTCGTTCCACGGTTCTCGAGAGCGAGTGTGCGTCTCTACCGGAATCGTCGCTTCGCCGAGACACTTTTCACGGGACGAACGAGCGGCCGATTAGATTTCGAGTCGTAGTTTTCCGGTTCCCTCCGGCGAGCCAGCGTTACGTTACTCGTGTTCCTCTCCGCGAACAGCTTTAGGGCCACAATTCCCACGAGCCGCGGAAGAGGGAAGTTAATAGTCAAAGGCTGTGGCGGTCGGTTCGCGAACGAGAACAGGGCGGTGTCGAAAGATGATAATTAGAGTCCCTCGGAGGTATCGCTCGGAGATTAGAAGGGTGGGATCTTTAACGGGACAAAGTTGGAAAGGGTGGACCGACGGTTGGTAGAAATGGTTTTCGTGAAATCGACGGGGATCGCGTAGATGTTCGTCGGGGGTTTGATACGGCTGCGGCGCGGCGGTCGATTCAGATCCCGCTACCGTCCGGTTCTCAATCATTACAGCTTTATGTAGATTTATGGGACGTCGTATTTTATTGGCGGATATCGGCCGAGTCGTATTTATTCGGTGCACGACAGTGCGCTGTGCTTTGCCGTGCTCCTTCCTAAGAGGTCGAGGACTCTCTCTCTCTCTCTCTCTCTCTTTTTCCACACTAGTCTCCGTCTCCGTCTCTGTCCGACTAGCGTGAGCAGAATATACTGGCATGACATTTATATTAAACTCTGCAAAACTATCGATCGACGCGTGTATATATAGCCGGCGTCTTTTCCACGCAAATAGATCTTTATTTATAAGATTTTATTCTAACGCTTAATCGCGATATACCGGCGGCTAACATTTTACTCGGGGAAAGAAACAGTTGTGGTTGATGACACGTACAACGGGGGATTCTGCAAGAGCGCATCGACGAATATTCGGTTAGCACGGCGTCCGCTGGTTGGCTCGTTTTAAGTGCGGGTATTTAGCAATTTATGGCTGGTAGTCCTTGCCGGAAACGCATCTCTGCGACGGAACTGCCGGGTGGTTGAGCCGCGAACATCGCATTAATGTCAACCAACTCAATTTCCTAGGAAACGCGGCGGACGAATTCGAGCGGATAATTTACGGCAACGCGGATAACAATGGCCAGAGACCCCTGCAAACGACCATTTTCTCCAAATGAAAGAAAAAAAGAATAATCATTCCCCTTGATACGCCATTTTCTCCGCGGTAATTTTCTCCGTTTAACCTCTTCAGGGACACCGACACATACGTGTACTTTTAGATTTTCCGAAAATTCTAATATTTGCTACAGAGAATATATGAAAAACACAGTCTCCCGAAATCTCGAAAAATCTCCCAGGGAAAGTGGTTTAATTGCTGTCGATCTAACCGCGAATATAAACGTAACTACATAAAAAGTTGGATCAATATTTTCCAACTTTAAAAAAATCGTCCCTGAAGTGGTTAACGTTTTACTGGCAGCCTGACGGAATGTATCTCGTGTTTAGAGTAACTGCGAATAAATCGGACGAAGGGTTAAAAGTGTAGCGGGGAATATTTGGAAGAACGTTAGGAGGAATTTTTCCAACGGGAATTTACGTTTCCCGATGCGTACCACGTTATGCCCCCGAGCATTTGAAATTCAAATAGCCGCGATCGCGTGTAGAAAAGCCTCGAGGTTCGATTCCCAGGCTGAAGGGACACGTTCCGTCGTCCAAGCACCGCGAGAGATTTCGACGGTCACGATCTAAGCTGGATTGGTGGCAAGAAATTGCCGATGGCGCGTTATCTCGCGACGTAGATTAGAGATCGGTCGATGACCTTCCGGCTGGCTCCTATTATCTCCTCCTGATTGTACCAGAATGTCTCACGGCGGCGCTGAACGTCACTCGTCGATTAAATCCGGACACAATAGGATTTCCGAACTCCCCGAAGACTATACCGGCAGACTTTGGCGGCACAGTTTCGTTTTTCCCCCTTTTGTTCCTCGCCAACTTACCACCGCTCTTTTCTCCTTCGCGCCTCTTTCTCTCCCTTCCTTCCTCCGAAGGGATACCTTCCCGCCATGACCTCGAACTGCCTCCTTTCGGTCACGCGATCGCTCTTACGGCAATTTTCCGGGCTGTAAATTGCAAAAGTTCCCGCGGCTATCGTATCCCCGCGAAACCAACCGTTCTTTCTTCTTGTTTCAGATCTCGAACCGCCTCTCTGGATCCGGTGGAACGCGCCCACGGGGTGAGTTTCCCCCTGTTAATAATCGCGTACACCTCTGTCGAATCGCGAAATCGCACGCGATCGTCGCAACTGGACGACGAATCGGCGAATTTCCACGTTCGTTCTTCACCCCTTCCTTCTTCCCTACTTTTTTTTTTCATCGAGCTCTCATATTTTGCACTCGTTACGTCGCGCGGTTCGTTTATATTTCCCCTTTTCTTCCCCACCCAAAAAAAGGGATACAGTTGGAAGCTGAATAAAGATACGAATGGCCGCATAAATTTATGACGCTTGCATATGCATGAACGCTACGTTTTTTTTTTTCTTTTTTTTACGAGGTTTCTCTGCACGCCGTTAGATACCATTTGGAACAATGCATTCGCTCGTTATTTAGGGATCGCGGAGAATCCGTGCGTTCGACGGACGGTAAATCCCGCGATTCGTCGGGATTCTACGCGGAGAATTAATCGGACTCCTCCGTCGCATGTTTATTTCTCCCACGTTTTCTTTCTCCCTTTCCCCAACACACACGCGCGCGTATACACGCCCGTGCAATTTCCTCCGTCATAGTTCCACGGTTTCCTCCAGGCACACGCGATAATGCACACCCCCTTTAGAGGCCAGTAGCCACATTATCGTTGCCTCTCGAGATAAATCGGCAATACGTATTCGCGCGAAGGAGAAACGCCTCCCGAACACTGAATACAAATGTAAGCCACGCGTTCAACATTATTTAGGGAGCTGCGAGGCACTCGTTTCATTGCTATCCAGACAAAGGCCGAGCTTACGCGAGTCTAGAGGGTTCAACCTCGCATTGTGTCTACCTCGAAGGGAGGGATCAGGTGTCAAAAGCTATCCAAACCTTATTATCTCTTACGCAAATCGCACCCTTTCACGTTCTTTTTTTCACTACCCTCGTCTAGCTTCTTCGTCTCCTTTCTTTTCCGTCCGCTTAAAGTTGAAGACGCTACAGGAAAATGCACAGACTCGACGAATTATCGCGAAGTTGAGTTTGACGCGTGTGTTCCTTCAGCAGGCTGAGAATGGGAGAGGAAGTTGGAGATAGCGAGAAGCGACGAGGCGCGAAATTTTCTCGACCTCCCGAAAACTTTTCCATTCTTCGAGCTAGCTCGAGACAATTCCAGCCGACGTCGATGGCTAGAGAGAGAGAGAGAGAGAGAGGAACGAGTATCAGAATACGGAGAGTTTCCGCGAACGGCCGCGGCTAGACACCTGGAAAATCACCGTTAGAGACGGCGGACAGACGTTCGAAGCGCGAGCGTTCATTAGCGTTTCCGGTATGATGAACCGTGAAATTTCAGCCAGTCCCTTTGATCTGGCGAAAAGTCACGCGGTTGAATTATTAATGCCCAGGCTGTGCAGGCATGCATATACACGCATTGCTGCATGTTAATTCTAAGGCGTTTCGCGTCCGATCGTGCGTCGAATGTGTTACACACTTGTTAGACGATAATTTATCGTTAGGTGTCGGAACGTTGGACGACACTCGAGGGAGAGAGAGAGATACGTCTGTATGAACGTCGATCGAAAAGCATTTCTTCGGGACGGGCGATGAATAAATTAAAAGCACCGTCGTTTTTGTCCCGGAGGGTATTTGACTGCGTGCCTAATTAAATTTAACGCGACGCCCGGTCTGGACGCGAGAGAGAGAGAGGAGACAAAGCGAGGGAGAAGAAGTCGCTTAAATATTTGATTTCTGAAAATAGCGTCAAACTGTTCGCGCCAGCGCGAAAAACGTCGGAGGAAGGCGTCCGTCGAGCTACCCATTAAGGCGAAAGGGATCGAATGAAATTATAACGGTAGCAGCAGCGCGAAACCGCCTGTTATCTGTTTGCTCGAGAAAAATAACGTGGCAACCGGCGGAAAAATGGTAGAAGTGAAAAGAGCGCGGAATAGAACGGAAAAATTTCGTCGAAGCAGAAATTTTGCCCGGAGGGCATTACCTAGCGTGCGTTGGGTGCACGCGACGTACCCACGTGCGGTGCAATGAAAGAAAAAATCTGTTACCCGGTCCGCGGCACGGTCGGTGCTTGGTGGAAAAAAGGGATAAACATCCCGGAAGAATCTGTTTCGCGGGGCGAAACGCGAGAAATCCCTTACGAGAGAGAGAGAGAGAGAGAGAGAGAAGTGAAGCGCGAAGAAGAGAAGGAGGAAAAAGGGCGAAGAATGAAGGACGAGGATAGGGAAAAGAAGATGGAAGAAGGAAAAAAGAAGAGGAAGTGAGAGAGGGGCAGATGACACGAGGGACGTGGCCAGGGCACCTCTGAAAGTCGTTACGGGCTTGGATGCCGCCCTTCCGCCCGATCAATATTGCGTTGGTGGGGCCGAGGCAGCAGGAGGCAGGGCGAGGGACGCAAGGGTGAGTGGGAACGGGGGCGAATAGAACGGATCCGTGGCCGCGGTGGAGGCAAATGTTGGGCGAGAGGGGCGTCGAGGGGTGTCGGAGGGGGATCTCTCGGGTGAAGAGGGGTTGAGAGAGTGCGCCGACAGTGGGGGTTGTTTGGTGGGGGCGGTAGTAGAGGAGCGAACACTGTCATGGCGCCGCGCACCACCGCCAGCCAAGCGGTACCTCCAACTACTCCCTCGCGGTGTGTAGCGCGCTCTTCTCGATTTTTCAACTGAAAATTTGTACCGCGATCGGTCCTCGCCGCCACCTGTGCACAGAAGGATTGGTCGGTTCGTTCGCTGGCGAACGGAATTGCTTGGTCGTTTTGGAAAGTGTCGTGGAAGGTTCGGGGGCGCGCGACCATCCGTTGCACGAACGTTGCGTGTCGCAGGCTCTCCCGAGTGTGCAGAGAGAGCAGCAAACGCGATCTCGAGTCTGGCGCGATCGAACGACGAGTTTCCGCGGAAGAAGGAGTACCAACGGGACAGGAACGGTGCGAGAAATTTCTAGCAACCTTTAGAGAACTGTGTGCTACGAACGATCTGCGAGAACGTCGGCGAGTTTGGTTATCGGTGTGTCGGTGGTATAAAGTAGCTGCGAGGGAAACGGGTTTCGACCGCTTAGGAAAACGGTGTTGGTGCCTCGTATCGACCACGAAATTCTCTCACGAAGGTCCAGGATCCTCTACTTTAAAGCACGTCGACTAAGCTGATGTGAAGACTCGAGACACAGGTCAGAGACACCGATTCGAGGAAAGAAAGAAAGATCGGAATCGAAGTAAAATTGGTGGTGGACCGCGAGGTGAATCGATGGTGTACGCGAAATCGTGACTGGTCGTCACGACTGGTTGTCGCGGCGCGATGCGTCACGTGACTGAGGACGGAGCAGCGGATGACAGGCAGAGTGGATAGTGAGAAGAAGGAGAAAGGAGAAGCGTTGTGGATCGTCTGGTGAGGACCTCGCCGGGTCCTGACCAGGGCTTTTTCCCGATCGTGGCAAATAGGCGGAGGCTAATCTACGGGAGTAACAATGTCCTAGCGAAGGCAGGAGCTCGTCTAGGCCGATCACCCTCGTCCTCTCTTCCGTTTCGCCCCCTGACCTCCAGACACAGTTAACCGACTGGCCTCGCACACTCTCTCACACACACGCGCCGCATACACGTGCACACGTTGCGTCGTTCCAGGGACACGCGTACCAGCGTGTACGATACACACGCGTCTTCTCCGCGTCCCCTTAACTACCCTCTCTGACATCCCTCGCGCTCTTTCTTACAAGGAACCGTGCGTTTACACCACTGCGTCGATGCGAACACGTTAACCTCCGGTCTACGCCTAGTACGTCGTCCTACACCTAGAAACAACCACCTACGCTCTCCTACGTGTGTAACTCACAGACGCGTACAGAGAGAGAGAGAGAGAGAGAGAGAGAGAGAGAGAGACGAGATTCCCGAATCCAGCCAAGTCCAAAGTCCTTAATCCCGTGGGGTGATCCTGGCCCCGCCCGTGTACAAGAAGGAACCACACCCCTGGCCAAAGAAGGAACCAAGGGTACAGATTTACCCGGCTCTTCTGGTAAGCTTTCACCTTCCACGTTCGTCTATTTTTCTCCTCTTTCGTTTCTTCTCCCACCCCCGACACGCGGTCGGGATTTTTCCGCCAGGGCCGCGGATAACGGTGTTGTAGTCACGGGATACGAGGAAATCTCTCCTCGGAACAAGTTGTTCGTTCGTGCCATTTTCTCGCACACGCGCCTATACGCGCGTTGTTTCGCCGTTGATCCATTTCGCGATTGCAACCCTATTTCTTGCCGTGTCCCGTCTCTAACCCTCCCACCTTCTCGGTGGATCTAATAGCGCACATGGCCTCGTTCCACGCTGGATGCAAGTTACAAACGCGATCGCGCAGCTTAGGTTTCGCGCCCGCAGGGTGGGGAAGACGAGGAGAGGGCGTTACGGCCTCTCGTGAAACCGTTACCAACCTTGAAACGATTCCTTTCCGGACCCTCGAGAGATCGATCGATCGTTGACGCGAGGTGGATGGGATTATTTTATTATTTCACGAGCGTGCACCGTCGAAAGTGGCAGCTACTCGAACACAATGCCGCATCGTCTTGTCTCGCTTGGAGCGAAATTAATCGCCCTCGAGACGTCGCAGACACAGGGAGGAATGGAAGCGAGGAGGGTAACCGGTGGCTGGTAGTTGGTGCTTTGTTAATTGCGCGAACCGGCTGCATTTTCCACACGGATACCCCCGCCGGGTTAATCGGCGGATCGATCCTCGAGCAATTTCCCGTTTGTCGCGTACCACCGGTCCCTAAACGTACACCAGCCAGGGTGAGTTTAAGAAACCGCGACGTGCTCCCGCGAAACTACCGCCGTCGTACAATTTCTCGAAATTCGTGAAGCGTACGTAAGTAGGTAGGTGTATATAAGAGGTGATCAAGCTCGTGCTTTTCCATCAGAGTCGTTAATAAATCCGCTATTAAAAGTTTGCCCCGGAACGCGGAGGCAAAAGGGAGAGGAGAGAAGAAAGATCCCTGCCACGCGGAAGTATCTCGGAAAGTCCGTGGATGGGAAGCGGATCGATCGCGTCAGAAATCGATCTTGTGGAATGGC